GTAGAATTTGTTCAGTTTATTTAAGGTTTGTGCCAATACAATCATATATATTTATACGTTTTAATTTTTTCATTATATTGCATTGATTAAGCTAGAGATATATGTATATTTGTATAAACAATAACGTTCCAAATTTTGAAGTCAATAAGATTTTTTTTTTAAAGAAATTAATACTTAGGATGCCTCAAAGTAATCAAAAGTGACAGTAAATGCATGTATAATGTTACAAAAGTTTCTATTTCAAATAAATGCTGTTCTTATGAGCTTTCTAGTCATCAAATAATCCTGAAAAGAATCCAGCAAATCAGTAATATTTCACAGTATTACTGTTTTTACTGTATTTTTGATCAAATACATGCAGCCTTGGTGAGCAGAAGAGACTTCTTTCAAAAACTCTTAACTGATCCCAAACTGTGTTTGATAAAGTGTCCAAATGCTTTACGAAAAGGAGTGACATTTGTATAGAAATGAGCCTGAGAGACTTTAGGGTGACGGTGAGGTTGGGGTCAGAGGTCGTTCACGCCTGGGTCACGATCATAAAGCTCTCAGCTCTTGAAACTCGTCATAAAGCCAAGGGTCGTCGCGGAGGCCAAGGGGTCAGAGGGTGTGTTCAGGTCATAGTGGGAGATGTTCACACACTTTACTCGAGAAGTTTGCAAATGGTTTCTATGTGTCGGCACATAGAAACACTGTCGCCATTTATAGCGTGCCAATGTGGACTGCAGCAGGAAATTAGGTAATCTGGTAAAGACCGCATTTCCCAGGGTGCACTGGGCCGTTTGCCAAAGGGCTGCTGGGTAACCACCAACACAACCACTATAATGCCATGGAGACACGACTAGAAGAGGACGAACAATCTGAATCAGATAGTTGATCTGTTCCAAAACCTAGTGAGCTGCCTATTTAGGCAGTATTTTAAGGTGCGTTTCGGTTCGAATGAAGAAAAGGTTCCAAAAGGTAGGCGGTGACGTTATGCTGCCTGCTAAAATTTTGGCCAAATTCTAAGGCAGCATCGCATGTATTCATCACAAATGAGGCACTCCCAGAATGCATTGCTCGGTAAACATTTCTGATTGAAAAAACATTAATTTAATTGAAAATGGGTTATTTTACTCAATATTTGTATGTTTGTTTATCATAATTATGTGTTATGTTGCAACATGCTAACGTCAAACTCTTTTATCAGAGATGATTTGAGGAGACAGAATAATCATAAAAATGGATGAGAGAAATCATATTGTTCAATAAGACTTCAAACCATTCATTTGTGATAGAGAAGTAAAATACTTTATTGCATTGTCAGATGTTATTGCTGATTATTTGAATACACTACCATGTTTTTTAAAGAAGTCTCTTCTGCTCAACAAGGCTGAATTTATTTGATCAAAAATACAGTAAAAAGATTAATATTGTGAAATATCATTGCAATTTAAAATAACTGTTTTCTAATTGAATATATTTAAATTTTTTATTCATTCCTGTTATGAAAAGCTGAATTTTAAGCATCATTACTCCAGTATTCAGTGTCACATTTTATTTTTATTATCAATGCTGAAAAACAGCTGCTTCATATCTTTGTGGAAACAATTATACTTTTTGGCAGGATTCCTTAAAGGGGGTCATAGGAATATCAACTTGTGGAAAATGGGCATCCTATGACCCCTTTAATAAATAGAAAGTTCAAAAGAGCAGCATTCATTTGAAATATGTATTTTTTTTTTACATTATAAATGCTACTTTTGATCACATTTACATTTAGTCATTTTGCAGACGCTTTTATTCAAAGCGACTTACAATTGGGGAATACATAAAGTGATTCTTCTTAAAGAGGCAAACAGACACAAGAAGTGCTTGTAATACCAAGTTTTAGGTATTGTTCAAATAAGTACAAGATCAATTTAATGCATCCTTGTTTAATACAAATATTGATTTCTTTAAAAAAATCACGAGATCGCTCACTAGGGTTTGAGTATATGTGTGTGTCCATGTTCTTGAACTTGAAATTTGTAAATCTAATTACAAGTCTGTAATCAGCACCACAGATGACAAAAACATGACACATTTGCATATGTGATGATTTATTCATCTGATTGAGCTTTGTGTTCGGCGCCAAACGATCCGCACCCTGTTTAAACCTGTATTTAGCGCTGAGCATCTGAGATGGATGTCAATGCCAGGTCCATCTTCTGTTTCCATCCCTCATGTGAAATGTATGCAGGACCGCATTGAGTTTATGTGTCTCCACTGACCCGTCAAACAGGCCTGTCTTCTGTATTTTACGTCCCTGTGTTTCGGTGTGATTAGCTGCTCTGCGGTTGGCCGTTTAGTGGGGTTGAAGGTCATATGAGGCGCTTGTGTCCTTCCTGCAAAAGGTCACACAAGAGAAACCAACAGCTGCTTGAAGGTTTCACTGTCTCACATTCAGTAGTTACAAAAGAAGCCAAAGCATTGCGAATGAAACTGCAGAAATGTCTGAAACATCATGTGTATCCTTGTGAAAAATTACACTTTAGCAAACTTTTAACTAGAGGGACTTTTGTTAAGGAAATAATATACTTTAAAAGCATATAGTTCCAAACTGAATGTTAATATTGCATATTATTTACAATTATTCAAATTACAAAATGTAATATATAGTTTAAATTTATATTAACAGCAAATTGGTTGAAGTTAGGAGTGTTTTTTACTCACTTAAGTAGGACTTCAGTGCATATTTATATGTTATTTCATAATTATGTTGTTTTTGAAATTTGGTTGTAGAATGTATTGACAAGCATTTATGGTAAATTAAATATACTTTGATGTCACTTCTATCGAAACATATGACATGCATTTAAATATATTTGTAATTACACATTTTTAATGATAAAGTTGCAATTGAGTACATTTGAAATGTAATAAATTGTAGAATAACATACTACAATTAAACATGTTCTGATTCAGAGATATAGGTCTTGCTAAACAGTTGCTAGCGTGTGGCTTGGCAGCTGCCAGTGATGGTACTCCAAAGGCTGTGGATGACAGTCAGATTTGAAGATATCCCTCTTTGGGTTTGGGTTGTTAAACTAATAAACTAGATGTGTGTCTGAGTCAAAAGAGCCAATCCCTGTGTCTGTATGATGTTCTGGTGCTGAGATGTGGTTTATTTATGCTACCAAATGGTTGCTAGGTTGCTTTAAATGGTTGCTAATGTGTTGCTAGACAGTTACTAGGGTGAAAAAATCCAAACCAAATCTCTATGATGTTATGGTGTTAACATATGACTTATTTATGCTTCCATATGGTTGCTAGGGTGTTCTGCATAGTTGCTAGGATGTTGATAGACACCAGTTTCCATGGTGATAATTACTCTCCATTCTGAGTCAAAAGAGGCCACCCACTTGTCTCTACGATGTTCTGAGCCACAGATATACCTCTCGCCGGTTTTTAAATGGAAGTCTATGGGCTTGTTGATAGGTTGCTGTAACTGGTTGCTAGGGCATGGCTATAAAGTTTAAATGTTACTATTTATTGGCTGCTTGCCAGGACAAGTCAAATGAGCCCACCCCCCAAGTCTCTATGACATTTTGATGCAGAGATGTGAGGTCAGAAATTTCGGTCCAATGTAAAGTCAAAAGAGCCAATCCCTGTGTCTGTATGATGTTCTGGGGCTGAGATGTGGTTTATTTATGCTACCAAATGGTTGCTAGGTTGCTTTAAATGGTTGCTAATGTGTTGCTAGACAGTTACTAGGGTGAAAAAATCCAAACCAAATCTCTATGATGTTATGGTGTTAACATATGACTTATTTATGCTTCCATATGGTTGCTAGGGTGTTCTGCATAGTTGCTAGGATGTTGATAGACAGTTTCCATGGTGATAATTACTCTCCATTCTGAGTCAAAAGAGGCCACCCACTTGTCTCTATGATGTTCTGAGCCACAGATATACCTCTCGCCGGTTTTTAAATGGAAGTCTATGGGCTTGTTGCTAGGTTGCTGTAACTGGTTGCTAGGGCATGGCTATAAAGTTTAAATGTTACTATTTATTGGCTGCTTGCCAGGACAAGTCAAATGAGCCCACCCCCCAAGTCTCTATGACATTTTGATGCGGAGATGTGAGGTCAGAAAGTTCGGTCCAATGTTAAGTCTATGGGACTTTTTGCCCGATTTTTCAACCATTGTGTAAACATCATTTGCCCAATTTCTTAAAACATTCATAGCACACCTCTCCTCAATAAGCCACATGATTTGACGCCCCATTCCTGGGTGTGTGACAAACAGTTGTACGCTGAAGTTTTGTCCAGAATAAAAATATGTATGCAAGATCATTTTAATTTGTAATAATATTTCACAACTTTGCTGTTCTTACTGTGTTTTTGATCAAATAAATGCAGCCTTGGTGAGCAGAAGAGTCTTCTTTCTCACAATAAAAAATGTACTGTTCCCAGGCTTTTGAATGGTAGTGTAACTCAACATGCTTCTGCAGTAAAGGACTATGGAAAAATTATGAAGATGCATTTTCACTCAGAATCATCATTTATGTACACTTACATTTATACATTTAGCAGATGCTTTCATCCAAAGCAGTTTGTCAAAGAGCCAACAGTATTCGTGATCCACAATGTCAAGCTTATTATTAGATAAAAAATATGGAATATGAATGAAGCGGGTCTATGAACTGTTGGATTTCTACAATCCATATAAACAAACATTTGTTTCATTGACTTTTCTGCCAGGATACCAATAATTCTGGAGGGTTCAGAAGTCTAATACAGACACAGAGACATCCTGTCTTGTGTTAACTGAGAGTTTGTCCTCATATGACAGTAAAAGCCTGCAGGCTACATTTCCACAGTGATTTCAAATCCATATTTACCAAAACACACACACACTAGTATTGCTGGAAAAAGATGTTCAGATAAAGACGTTTCTTGAGCAATATGAGTGAAAATCCTTTCAGACCCTGTGTGTTTGTGTCTGTATTTCACCTTGGTGTTTGTGTGCCTCTGTGTCTTTAAGGAGGAGAAGTCCCAACTGGTGATCACCATGAGTGACATAATGGACGACCAATCAGCTGTGGGCTCTCAGAAGGAGGAGGAGTCAGCTATCAACCTTCCATCCACACCCACACCTCAGCAGCAGCACACTGACCCCGCCTCCCCAACGGTCGCCACGACGCCCGAGCCGCCTCCCGTCGCCTGCGACAACAAAGTGATGGCGAGATCCTCAGAGATGGATCTTGAGTATGAGGTGAATATTTGAAGAGTTCCTTTGCAAAAACAGATATCTCCGTTTTTTAACAATTTTCAAAAATCATGTTTTTTCATTGTGCATTCCAATTAATCTCAGTCAAACTGCAGTTGGGTAATTTTGATAACTAAAAAATACAGCTAACTAACAATAAAACACAATAAAAACATGATAACATAATAAAAAAAAACATGATTTATAGAGTTATCTGTTTTTGCAAATAAACTCTTCATTTGTACTGATGGATCACATCACTCGTAAAAATAATGGCTCTTATTTGGTTTAAATAGGGTACACTTTGGTATTCCATGACTTGACGTGAGTTTATTAATTAATACATTTTTTATATTTATTAGATGTGCAAAATAAACCATTATTTAAAATAAAATTTAATTTGATTTAATATCAGCAAGCTAAGGCTGAACAAATATGAATAATAAATAATAAAAAATGATACACAAATATTTTCTCCCCACTTTTTGTGGCTTCGTATTTCATACTTGATTGCCAGTGCAATTCCAGAGCCAACAAATATGATTTAATATTTGTTCATATGTCATATTTATGATTATACATTAATTTGATTTAATGCTGAAATATTTTTATTATGATTAATATAAATTAATAAAGTGCAATAGTATTATCATTTTATTTAATATTTTTATTTTAAAATAATTACAATCAAAATTGTAATTTTTATTATTTGAGTCATATTGAGTAGGTCAAAAACAGTGTGTCAAAAAAAGTTGACATTAAACAAGTATTGTTTAAAATATACTTCATTTGTTGATTCTGCATTACTTTGAGGATATAATGCTTAAATATATTAATTCTGATTATTATAAATGAACAAACAGTACAACAGTATTATTACTAATTATTTTTGTTTAATATTAATCAACATAATTTATTATTTTATTTAAATATATGTATTATGATTCTGAATTAAATGCATATTAATTATTAATTAGATAACAATATTAATTTATATAAAAAATATGAAATACTAATTATTTTTGTTTAATATTAATCAACATAATTTATATTTATTATTTTATTTAAATATATGTATTATGATTCTGAATTAAATGCATATTAACTATTAATTAGATAACAATATTAATTAATATTAAAAATATGAAATAGTTGTAAATGAACATTAAATTTACATTTTTCCAATTAATCACAGAAAACTACTTTTTTCCCCCTTTTTTTTTTGTCCTGCTGCAAACCTCATCTAAAATTATAGAAATTAAAAGTTGAATAAAACATTTAATAGTTTGACTTCCTGAGGTTGATTATTTGGGGGGTTTTTTGTTTTGTTTTTTGAAGGTCGAGCAGCTGCTTTTTCCAGTGACCATTTGCTGAAAATTAAAAATTGACTCAATTTTAGGCTTTATTGTGTTCCCTAATTGTGCACATTAGATTCAGCAAAGTAGCTCTTCTTATCAAGAATCAGGTTTTGCTGTCATGTGACCTGCAGTATGTGAAGCTGGCTTTTGTTTTTGTGTGTTTCAGGATGGCCATGGGTTCGGGATCGGAGAGCTGATCTGGGGGAAGCTGCGGGGATTCTCCTGGTGGCCCGGCCGGATCGTGTCGTGGTGGATGGCAGGTCGCAGTCGGGCCGCTGAAGGCACCCGCTGGGTCATGTGGTTTGGAGATGCCAAATTCTCAGTGGTGAGTCAGTCGACCAAGCAGGATCCTTCATGAGTACTGATAAGAGACGTTATAATGAGCATCCTCTTCTCTGTCAGGTGTGTGTGGAAAAGCTGTTGCCCTTGAGCAAATTTGACAAGTCTTTTCATCAGCCCACCTACAACAAACAGCCCATGTACAGAAAAGCCATCTATGAAGTTTTACAGGCAAGTCATGATATTTCTGTCGTGTGTGTTATTGTATGTGTATGTGTTTTCTCATGTTGTTTTTGTGGATCTCTGTTCAGACGGCGGGTATGCGTGCCGGTAAACCGTTCCCTGTGTGTGTGTCCACCGATGACCCGGACATATCGAACAGTGTTGAAGTGCACACGCGGCAGATGATTCAATGGGCCAACACTGGGTTTCTCCCTTCTGGTGCCAAAGGCCTGGAGCCGCCACCAGGTAATGTATCTAACAAGCACGCAGCCACAGGCCCAGATTAGAGTTTTATTATTTAAGAAACGTTTTTTATGTTTATATTAGGGATGTAACGATTAACCGCGAACCGCTTGAAAATCGATTCAAATATGTGACAATTCAAATCGGTTGAGATGCTAAACAAATTGCGATTCATTTAGGGGTAGAAGTTTATATGAATCCATGTCTGAGGGGAACTTACTGTCTTTAGAAAAGTTTAGATGGTATTTTTTCTTTTCATCTTGCCTCTGTATAATGCATATTAAAGTTCATATGTGCAGCGCTGCTTTGTTTAAAGCGGAAACCAAGGAAACGCTTTACGCGCCACCTGCTGGCAGAGAGTGAATCTGCGTTCTCATTCAGCTCGTCCGCTGTTTCATGCAGATATTTTTTATGTATAGTTTCACAAAAATGAAGTCAAACCATTCTGTTTTTGCTTCAAATTTCGAAATTATACAATCTAATTTAGTTTAAAAACTGCTCATGTTGCATGTATTCAGCATCTTTGTTTGGATCAAGATTAAAATTCAGTGGTTGCCTCTAATTTTAAAAGGAAAGAGCACAGACAAAGTCTTAGTTTGTTTATATGAAGAGATTTATTTTGTGTTATTTATTTAATTTTGGGCTTGTTTTAAAATTTACATTTACATTATATTAAAATTTAGTCATTTAGCAGACACTTTTATCCAAAGCGACTTACAAATGAGGACAGTAGAAGCAATCAAAACCAACAAAAGAGCAATAATATGCAAGTGCTATATTAGTATATTATTATAGTGTTATATTTCAATTTGACAAAGAAATGTGCTGCATTTTGTCCAAGCAATAATAAAAGGACACATTTAATTTATAATTTGTCTTAAATCTCATTTTGTAAAAAAAAAACAAATCGTGATTCGAATCGTGAGTTGAGTGAATCGTTACATCCCTAATTTATATGTTTATCAATATTTTTATAATTGTTTACTGAGAGTTAATTATTTATCACTATAATTAATTACTACTTCAAATATTATTGTGAAATATATTAAGTTAAATATAAATAAAATAATTTTGCAATTTATTATAGTTTATTATTTAATGTATTATTTTTATTGTTATAATTTTTTAATGATATTTTATAATTTAATGAATGATATTTGTTATATTTTGATATATTTTATTATTGTTTGTATTATATTTTTTCTTTTAATTAATGGTATTTATGGTATGGATTTGTTGTTTTTTATTTTTATTATTTGTTTATGTATTATATATTTTTTAACAAGTTTTAATCATTTTATTTTACATTTATTTTGATTAATTTAATTTAATTTATAATTTATTCTGTTCCTCAAATAATTTTTTGGATAGCACAAACCTGATGATTTGGCCTTGGAGGAATTTGATGAGATGAATTAATAATATCATTATAATTAATTGTAATTAATTGCTACTACAAATATTGTTATATAGAGTGTTATAAATAAAAATATATACTATTGCTTTTTATTATTTATTAGATTTATATTTTTAAGAATAAAAAAATTATAATTTAATTGCAATTTTATTTTGATTAATTACATTTTATTTATTTATTCTGTTGCTCAAATTATTTTGGATAGCATAGACCTGATAATTTAGGAAGAATTTGTTGAGAAATGTTTAGCCATTGAGAGACTTTTTTGAGTGCAGACAGATCTGAACAACGACATTGTTGAGATCTCTTTTGAAACCGTGTAGGAGACGAAATATAAATTCCTGTAGTCTTATTTTCACCATAAACATGAGAAGCAAAAGCCTTTCAATTTCATTGCTGTCTAAGATAAACAATTGCGATGTTAAAGAGATTTGTGTGTTTATTTGTGCATGTCCTTTAGCGGAGCAGAGTCCATATACTGAGGTATATCCAGAGATGTGGGTGGAGCCTGAGGCCGCTGCGTACACGGCTCCGCCCCCTGCCAAGAAACCCAGGAAAAACAGTGTCGAGAAACCCAAAATCAAAGAGATTATTGATGAAGGAACCCGAGGTATCACACACACACACATACAGTAAACCAGCTTCACATTTCACATATACTGTTCCTACTTGAAAAGCAGTGATTGTTGACGCTATGTCTGGTTTTCCTCAGAGAGACTCGTGTATGAAGTCAAACAAAAGTCTCGCAATATTGAAGGTGAGTTTTCTGTTGAATTTGACCTTTGAATTAAAAAAACTCTATCTATATATATATATATATACAGTATATATTAGGGCTGTCACGATATTAGATTTTTCACACCACGGTTATTGTGTCCAAAAGAATTCACGATATCGATATATCGCGATATCTATAGAAACCTTAGGGAATCAGCCAAATTAATATTTACTTTGTTTATTTAGTTTTTCTTTTTACCCAATGAACATAAGGATACTGATAAACACAGGGCACATGCATTTTCACTTCTTCTTCTTCTTCAGGTCACAGCTGACCTGAGACTCTGGTTTTCTCGGTCTTCTTTGAAGCTCCTTATGAAATAACAAGAGAGAAAATACTGTCAAGTTCAACAGTATAATGAATAAATATTAACATCAAATCTGATACTTTAACCTGTTAACTTGCGTACCCGTATTTGAATCTCTTTAACCTATAGTTGCGCCGGCGCCAATGAAGTCATGCAGTTAACGCGCTTCTAATTCAGTATTAATGTGCACCCAGAATGACCGCAGATGAGGCATTAAGTGCATGGCACTGCAACCAACTTTACATTTTACAGAGTTTAATGTGGTCGCTCAGTTTTTCTATATCAGTTTTAATCGTGTAATAGATTTGAACAAAGAAATCAATTGCTACACAAAGGCAGTATTGGCCATGACTTGATTGCAAATACAAATACAAAAATTAGACGAGTAAAGAAAACGCGGTTCTTATTAAAAGAATCACCCTTTTATTTAAATGTATTAAAACAGGAAACCACTGTTAACAGGTTAATGTAACATTTCCCATTCAATGACTTGTAAAATAATGGCAACTTACTGTCTGGATAATATTGAACATGGTTCTTCTGAGATATATTCATCTGCAGACCCGCGGCATGGATACTAATGGTTCTTCTTGGAGTAGTGCGGCCGCGCGCTGCATCTTCTTGTGTGACAGGTGTCAGTGTTAAGGCGCAATACTGCCACCTGGGAGGTCAACCAGGTGCTGGCGCTGGAGTAGGCTATTTGCGTGTCGTGTTATCATAAGTATCCTGTTCATTTTAAATATCATGGTTATCACCAATACCGGTATATCCTCACACCCTAAATTAACACGATGTCGATATTTCATTATTTGAATATCATGGTTATCGTCAATACCGGTATATCGCAACACCCCTAATATATATATATATATATATATATA